TTGTTCAGCATCTTAGCTGTAGAGGGCAGTGTCACTGGCCCTCATATGTGGGATCCGAACCGGGGCCCTCTGGCGTCCCAAGGCAGCTCTTAACCGTTGCGCCACTCGGCTGGCCCTAATAAAATATTTTTTAATTAAGGTATATACATTGTTTTTTAAGACATAATGCTATTTATTGCACACTTGGACTACAGTATAATGTAAACATAACTTTAATATGCTCTGGGAAACCAAAAAAGCGATCCTCTCTTTACTGTAGTGGTCTGAACCGAACATGCAGTATCTTTGATGCCTTTATACTTTGTCAGTAATGTTCATTTTAGCTCGATGTGTAATAACAAAAATTAGAAACTACTTATTGGCCTCTCAGCAGAAGGCTGGTTAAATCAGTTGTAGTAGATTTATATGAAGCATGCAATTAACTTTACTAAACGTGACTTTATTTACATATATTGACAGAAATATAGCTACAATACATGGTTAAGTAGAAAAATTGTAAAGTACAAAAAGTATATGCCTCCAGCTTTGTTACTCCCACAAAAATAAATATTACCTATTTTTACTTGTATATATATTTTTTCTGGAAGAATCCAAGGAAAACTATCAAACGTGGTTGTCTCTATGGATGAGAATTTGGAACTGGTGGTGGAGAGAAGCTAACATTTCATCATATTTAGGATTTGTCATAGGTTTATCATTTTATGAGTTCAAAATTCAAAATAAGCTTGAAATAACATACATTACTATATTGTTCACAACTTTAGAAATCAAAATCTGAAAATAATACATAACGTGAATGAGACGGTATAATCAGGGCGTCATACAGAGAAGTGCCATGGCATCTATGGTCTCAGGTTGATGTCCCCACATTGCCCTCTGGTGACCCACTGCAGGGCAGATCATCTTCTTCCTCTGCCCAGGAGACTTCACCCAGATTAGAGTGACATCCATGGGAGACAGCAAGACTTAGCCACACCACACTGAACCCCAAGGCCCAAAGGAAAGGGTTTGGGTAGGCATGATTTTGATCCCTTTCTTACCATTTACTTTTTTTAATTAGAAAGTTTAAAACATTTTTTAAATGATACTAGTGAACAGTCTGTGCCAAAATAATTGATTTGGCTTAAAACTGTATACAGTAATAGTTACACATACTTATGAACAGCCCAATATTTCTTGGAGCATAACCATGAAGTAATATTCAGGCTTAGCTCTTGCATTGTGGACAACAAGCTCTCCATGAAGCTGTGAGTGGCCAAAGGAAGAGGTGAGATAAAAAGACTAAAAAAACACAAGAAATTCAGTCTGAATCTTAAAAAGATGTATTTAAATCTTAAGATTTCTGGATTTAATCATGTTTTTAAGATTTGGACCAAATCCATTCACATGGACACACACCCAGCATTTGGTGAGTCGTGATTTTATTCTCTCTTTTTTAATTGTAGTAAAATACACATAACATCAATGTTACTGTCTTCACCATTTCCAAGATTACAGTTCAGTAATGTTAAGTACACTCACTTTGTTCACAACCAATCTCCAGAATTCTTTTCATCTTCTCAAACTGAAGCTCTATAACCATTAAACACTACCTCTCCAGCCCTCTCTCTCCACCCAGCCCCAGGTAACCATTATTCTACTTTCTGCCTCTATGAATTAGACTCCTCTAGGGGCCTCAGATGAGTGGAATCATCCAGTATTGGTCCTGTAGTGACTTGACTGGCTTATTACACTCAGCATAACGAAAGATAACCTCACGGTTCACCCATGCTGTAGTGTGTCAGACCCCCTTCTTTCCCAAGGCTGAATGACTTCCGTCATGTGGGTAGCCTCATTGTGTTTCTCCGTTCATCTGTCAGTGGACATTTGGGTTGCTTCCACCTTTTGGCTGTTGTGCACAGTGCTGCTGTGAACATGGGTGTCCACAGTTTTATTCTTAATGGAAGTTCTCCATTTGCATTGCTTTCAGGCCCAAACCCACGGGAAGTGGCCGGTGAAATGGTACGCTCCAGAGTGCATCAACTACTACAAGTTCTCCAGCAAGAGTGATGTCTGGAGCTTCGGAGTGTTGATGTGGGAAGCGTTCTCCTATGGGCAGAAGCCATATAGGGTAAGCCACTACTGTTTGTTTCCTAATTATGTGGCCATCAGAACAGATAAGCACTGGATTATCTGGATCGTCCTAACCATTATCTGGGCACTCTTCCTGAGTCTTTCACTATCTTTTGACAGTGGGCCATTAATATGACCTCAGTTTATTCTAAACTGGAAAAGAAGTATTGGCTGCTTACTGAACAGTATGTGTTTTTTTTCATTGTGTATTTCATATGTAAATATGCATAAAACATACCAAGATCAACATTAATTAGAGTTGAAATAGAAATAGTGGCTATTTCTAGTATCAAATTGTCAGCCTAATACATTTTTTTAGGTTTTTAAAAATCAAAATATACATACCAAAAAGTGCACAAATGCTAGGATATAACTTGACGAATCTTCACAAATGGGACATACCCATGAAACCAGCCCCCAGAGGAAGGAACAGCAAAGAACCCCAGAATCCCCCCTTTCCCCTGCATGCACAAGCCTCCCTCCAAGGGTAACCCCGTCTGACTTTTAGATCATAGGTTAGGTGCTCCTGTTTTTGTTCCTTTTATACTTGAAATCATACCACATGGACTCTTTTGTTTCTTTTGGAGAGGGTAGGATTTATGTGTTGTTTTGCTGAATGCTATGTTTAAAAACTCAGGTATATTCTGCATGTTTCAGGGAATGAAAGGAAGTGAAGTTTCCGCGATGCTGGAGAAAGGAGAGAGGATGGGCTGCCCTCAGGGGTGTCCAAGAGAGATGTATGAGCTCATGAACCTGTGCTGGACATATGAGTGAGTACCCGCCTCTTCCTGCGATTTCGCCCAGGGCTCCAGAGGCTTATGCAATGGCTGGGCACTACAAGAAGCATGAATTCTGTCTTTTCATGAGGCAGGGGTGGGCCCCCTTCTAAACGAACAGTAGGGGAGACATCTTGCTTTCTGGACCATGTACTATTCTTTAGTCTAAAGAATAAGTTTAGACAAGTACTCTAATCCAGGATGTCTAAGTTTAAATGTAGGTAATATGGCCAAGGGGTGGGGTGAGTCAAACTGGAAAGCTGTTCCTAAGAGTCTGACCTGGAGCCATGTGCCATTTTGGGTGACAGAGGTACTTACTGGGAAATGTCCTACTTTGCTAATTCCTGATCATTCTTCTTGTGACGGGAATTAGAACCCAGTCTGCTCACCTGCCTCTGTCCTTGTGAATACACACAGCTCCTCGTGCTGTTATTGCCAGGGCGGTTCAAGAGGGGAGGACAGGAAGGGGACATGTTCTTGGTATTCACTGGAGTTGGAGCTAGGTAGAACACTTCTCTCTAGGAGAACCCTGTTCCCCAGGGCATTTTCCCACCTGGAGATTTGTTACAGTCTGAGTGAAGTTTACAGGCAGCAAAAGTCTTTTTCATCGCATCCAACTCCAGCAATGCTTCCCAGTGAGTTCGACATAGATATCTAGGAACCAGCAACAGGGCTTAAGTGTCAGTGGAGTAGAAATAATGATGGCAGCCCGTGCCTAAAATTAGAAATGATGGCTCCTCATCAAACTTTGACTCTTTCCCCAACAAGCTACATTTCTGAAGGTTATGGTTTTTCTAGTACTGACCTGAAATAGTGTAGGCACAGCAGGGAGAGACAGTCAGAGACTTTGTCTAAATGTAAATTGTGACATGATGCACAGCTGAATGAGAAAATGAAATATTTTCTGGGTCATGACCAACACGGAGAAGTCAGAAGCACCAGGAGCTGCTCTGGCAACCTGAGTGATTGACCTCACTAAACTTCTCAGAGAGCCCAGCCCCTGCCCCTGTACGAGCCTGCAGCTGAGGGAGGGGAGGCAGGCAATAAATGATAAGCTATAAAATAAATGTGCTCTATAGTGTGTCCTCGTGAGGAGATGAGTCCAATGGCAATTCAAAGCCAGAGGACAGAGGGCTGGGGAGGGTGCTGCACCTATGTCCCTGTAGATTCTCACAGAAGGAAGTTAAGTAGTTGCCTGGGGCACTGAAGCATGTGGAGCTTCCAGAATCTGGTGGATTCAAAGAAGCAAATACAAATGATCCCTGTGTGGTCTCCAAGCTTTCTTCCAATGTAAACAGTTAGCCACCTTTGCCAAGGTGATAGATTTTTAGACAGATGATAGATGGTAGGTAGGTAGATAGATATTGTAGATAGATAATAGGTAGACAGATAGATGATAGATGATAGAACAATCAATCAGTACGTGATAGATGGATGGATGGATTGATGGATAGGTAGGTAGGATAGATGATAACTAAAAGTTTAGACAGGCCAACATATAGATATCCACGTTTATATTTATCACACGCTACTGGCTGCTGTTCATGTACTGAGCACTGTAAATAAGCACTAACTGTCACTTCTCTCATGGAGGTTACAATTCTGGGCTGGGTGTTACTAGGCAAACATGAAACAAATGAACCCCACATAAACATGGGATACATTATGGCTGCTGCTCTAGAGGAAACTACGGGAAGCTCTGAATGGGAATAGAGAATTATGGGGGGGTCATACTTCTGTTAGGGGGTCCATATTGGCCCCTTTAGGAAGGGGCATTCCACCTAAGAACTGCAGGATGAGGAGCTCCGATGCAGGAAATGAGAGGAGGAGGAGGCTCTGGGCACAAGGGGCAGAGCGGACAAGGCTCTCCGGGTCTGGCTGGGCAGAGCGGTCAGGAGAGGGGTGGACATGAAGCTGGCACATGCACAGGACATTCTGTCACCCACCTCTGCCCAAGCTCAGGGTCATCCTGGGTTCCTGAAGGCAGCCTCGCCCTTCGTGTAAAGGAGAGGAATCCTAATCAGGTGTCTTCCCGGAGGCCCAGTCTATATTCCTGATTCTCTACATTAGTTTGCTTGGTGCGTGGCTGCTGGGTGAATGAGACCCTCGCAGCAAGATTCAACGTTGCCGTTCGTGCATTTGGATCCCGCAGTTGGAGAAGGGTGCTCTGCTTTGCAAGGTGATGAGTGTGTGTTCTCTGGCTGTAGCAGTTTAGGAGCATGGTGGAAGCCGTCTGGTCACAGGTTTCCATGTGCGTCCCTGCACCCCAGGGCCTGGCCATCGGCTCCCCTCCTAGAACACCATTTGCTGACCACAGACATGCTCCCCACAGTGAGGCCTGGTCTCCAGCCATGACCACAGAAGGCTGAAATGTTCAAGCAGTTTTTGCTTGTTCTTGAAAACTGGGGGTACAACCATTTACAGCAGGTGCTCGAATAACATCAAAATGTTCAATGTCATTTCGTTATAACACTGATGATATGCCATAAGAACTTAACTCTTGTTTATATCAATTAGCCTGTGGTCAAATTAGTTTCATTATACGTTGTTTCACTTAATGTCGCAAAACTTTTCAATTATGTTTAGCGAGGACTTACTGTATTTTGATGCCATTTGACAAAACAACCCATTTCGGTTCTGTAGAAAATCTCAGCCCTTATAGTGGTGAGTGATTCTTGGATTTCACGCATGCTCCCTGGCTGTTCTCTCTGCCTTAAACTGAACCATAAAAATTGTAGCTCAGAAAGGTTGAATGTGGACAGTTCACAGTTTAACCTCAAGCTCTGTTTCACTTATTGGGTAATTTTACCCACTTGTAATATAGTAAAAAATCTTGCAAAAATAAGATAAATAACTTCCAAGTGAGGATAGATTCTTAAAATGTTAAGGAATACTCGCTTCCAACAAATCCTGTCAGTGTGCCCATGTTACAGAAAGCAGAGATGTCTGTAAAAATTTGTTTAGAGATTGCAAATTGTTACAAACTTTTGCCCATAGTTTACTTACCTCAGTATCTCACCTGACAAGTGACAGAAAAGTAAGGCTTTGCTGTGTTAAGATTTACAATAGACAATACCTCCCCCTTTGCTTCTGCCATGACAAATTTTGAGTTTTAATAAGAACCCATATCAACAGCATGTTTTCAGAAATCCAGAGTCATCCGATTGGGGTGTGGGGAGGGAAAGTTTAAACTTTTTTTTTTCTTAACAAGGTTATGAGTCAAACTTTAAAGTTATGTCTGCAGCATATTGGCCAACTAAGTATTTCAGACACATCTGTTTTGTTAGATCACAAGAAGACAGTCTCTGGGTTAAAAATCTCGACTTCGAGTGCAAAACTTCTCCATCTTTAAGGTGGACATGAGTCACCTGGGCGTCTTGTAGAATACAGATTGGGTTCTGTGGGTCTGGGGTGGGCCTGACAGCAGGGAAGTGCTGTGAGCTGCAGGCGCTGGAGGGAGCCCCCAGGGGGCGCAGCATTCACACTTAGCCGGTAAGGCCTCTGCTGGAATCACACTTTTTTACCATTGCGTAACAAACAATAATGCATCTTTTGCCTTTTCAGCGTGGAGAGCAGGCCCGGGTTCGTCGCGGTGGAAATGCGACTGCGTAATTACTACTATGACGTGGTGAACTAAGGCCCTTGCGCCTGTCCCTGACCGTCTCTTAGCGGATGAACCGTCACAGGCAAACATGTCCCAACACGTTGATTTTGAGTCTCCATCTCCCGCTGCCCATCGGGAGAGCCAGCCACAGGTGGACATGCGTGAGTGGTTTCCCAAAGCCTGTTCTGGAACAAACCCTCCACAAAGCAAACTCGCCCCAGAAGAACTGTGGGCGAAAGATGGACAACAGGGTCAAAGAGCCCGTGGATTCCTTTGTGTTTCTTGTCTGTGTGGTTTGCATACCAGGTTATTTTCAGGGTGTGTTTTCAGAATTCCTCGTTATGTTTCCAGTTCTCTGGCTCCTGGGCTGCATGCAAAGCCCTAGCAGCCTGGAGACATCGCCTTGTGGTATTGGGCGCTTCCCCGTGTTGCGTTGTCAGCATCCAGAGGGCGCAGTGACACCGGTTAGGCCTGTAGTGGAGGGCAGGATGGGAGAGGAGGAAGGGCTTCGGCTCCGACAGGCCAAAAGATGGCCTGCCCCTGAAAAGCTTTCCCAATGAACAAAGTGCTTTGAGGCTTTAAAAAGATAAATAAATAAATAAATAATCCAGCGCGGCCAGTGTAGTTTCTAAGTTAAAGGGGGGGGGGGGGGGGAATGCCTGGATACTGCTTTTGCTGTGTGTGTTCTGAGACAGAAGACTCGCATCTGCGTGAAAAGCGGGCCTTGTTGGAAGGAATTGGCTTACTGACCCCTGAAAGCCTCTCTCCTGCAGACTCTGACGACTGAACGTGAATGAAGACTAGTAAATAAAGTTCTTCGTGGAGTATGTCTGTTGTCTCAAGTGTAGAGTTCCCCCTGACAGTGTGTGCAAGTCTTGTTTAGTGAAAATTGTGTCCCGCGGCAAGTCTTTTTCCCTGTCGTCACAGAGGAAGGCGTAAAGGGAAAGGCACCTTCATTAAAGAAGGATTTATAATGCAAATGAGCTAAACCTGGAAAGGGTAAGGGCTTCATACCCTTTCTAGCACTGGGCATCTGTCCAGTGCTAGATGTTCACAAGCGTGCTGCCCTTCTCATGGTTCTAGCCACATCTTTACACGGGTATGGGATCACTCCACGTGCCTTTACCTTCTGGTCCTTGTTTACTGAGAACAAAAGGACATTGTGGACAGAATGCCCTGGCAAGGCGCTGCCTGCTGAAGCCACAAACACCTTGACCCTGAGCAGAATCAAAGTTTTCCACAACAGAAATGTAATCCACTCCATATCTAAAATAATCGTGTGTGTTTTTCATGGGTGTGTTCTTTCCCCACACTTGCTGTCACCAGCCTTGCTTTTATGTGTTGGGTGGTGACTTCACTTTTATACCAGCCCAAAGACTCCACTGGATTTTCACACACAGGGGTGACCACCGAATTTTCAGCTTCCCACCTCCAGCCTCCCAAAGAGCACACTCGGCCAGTTAAGCAGTACCCTCAACCCATTTCAGAAGAGATACCTTTTGTCACTGGACTTTGTTAAAACTGATTTTAACTAAAAATTTTAAATCAGTTTTGTGATAATTTTCATGGACATTATTAGAATGATAGGTCACACTGTCAAATAAACAGTGTTAAGCAGCATTGTCAAATGTGTGTGAGGTTTTTGTTTGTTTATTTTTAAATGTTAAGTACCCAACCATGTCCTTAAAAGGTAGATGTATAAAGGACCCTCAGACAAGAGGGCCCTGGCCTCCCATGATCCTCTGTGCACGGGCAGGGGATCTGCCCAGCGAGAGCCTGACAGTCCACGAACTACCCTAATGAAAGGTGGACTGATGGGACTCAGAAATGCCCAAAGGAGCCAAAGCCGGGTTATGAGCTTTCCCTTCCTTTGTGAAGATAGTGTACAGAGCACTGGGGGAGCCTGGGAAAGAGCTCCACAGCTCCCATCTCTCCCTCTTTTAAAGGAAATTACGCACACTCACAGGCATACTCATACATGGTATGCACACCACATGAATATGCATACCCCATGCATACGTATACCAATGTACCACACGTGTCTGCGCACACACACACACACCACTGAACCTTATTCCAAACAACCACTTAAATTCCAGTGTGGGGCAGTCATCTTGCCCTGGGGACAAGCACTGGTGGCTGTACTCATCTCTCTTCTGCCCACTCTGGGCCTTAGAGACTCTCCTGTCCACCAGCCCCACTAGAGGTCTCCCTGGTCCTGTTGGGCAGAGGTTTGGAGGAGACCCCAGTTGGTAAGCCTCACACTCCCATGGTGAGCTCTGAGATTGGGACAGCCCCAAGATGGGAATGACAGACTGCTGGATAGCTCCCTGGCCCATAGCTCCAGAAGCAGTGAGAAGTGTGAGGGCAAAATTGAGTACAATACAGACAGCTGGGTCTCTGGCAGTGACCTTGGGCGAGTCATAGAAACTCAGCCTTGATCTGCACAATTGCAGGTGAGGGTAACCCTCCGGTCTATGCTGATATACATAAGGCCAGACACAGAGGCCTGGTGCAGTATTCTCACAATGTCAGTGGGAGTCATGGTCTGGGCCGCAAGGACGGGCTGCCTAGCCAGTGGGGACTCTGCAGGGCAGCAGATGGCGCTGTGGGATGGCTCAGGAAAGGAGCTGCCTTTGACTTCCAATTCCTTCAACCCTGCGGAGGGACAGAAACCACTGATTTTTTTTTTTTTAAGATTTTATTGGGAAATTGGGGGATGGGAACAGACAAGTTGCTGTCCTTTTGTTCTTCAGTCTAGTTGTGGAGGAGGTCGCTTCACTGGCCCATGTTGGTATTATCATTGCGCTCTTCCCAGGTGAGGCAGATTGGTTGCCGGCCACTGGACGGCTGCTCATGGCGGCTCTTGGCAGCTCACGCCAGCAGCCAGCCACTCACGGTAGCTCACGGCAGCCCCCTGCAGCTCCATTGCAGCTAACTTGGCAGCCCAGCTCCATGTTGAGCCGTTGTTCACCATTTTAGCTATAGAGGGCGCAGTGTCACTGGCCCTCATGTGGGATCTGAACCGGGGCCCTGCTGCTCAGAGCTGGCATCCCAAGCCAACTCCTAACCAACGCATCACTCAGCCGGCCCAGAAACCACTGATTTTCAGACCAGGGCTTGTCTTTCCAAGGTTAGAAGGGGACTTCAGAAATGGTCAGTAAACATGTTCTCCTTTCAGGAAAGGAAGGGAGCGTTTTGAAATAACCAGAATGAGATTTAATTGTTCCTAATTCTCTTTTAGTTCAGGACAGACCGTGCAGGCGTCTCCACTTTAGACAGCAGTTACTTCCTTCTCCTGGATCAGGCTTGTGGCCTCAGGATGTCCCTGCTTTAGGGACAGCAAGGCCCCCTTCCTAATCCCTCTCCTCCTCCCTGCCATCCACCCAAAGAGAAGCCCGGAAACCCTCTCACAGCTGTCTTCCAGCGAACCTGAGTTTGGACAACAGAGCCTTGCTGTGCAAGCAGCGGGTTCCCCGATTAGATAACTCCTAAGTGTTCCCACCAAGAGTCCCAGTGCCCGTTACCCACTCAGTTCCAGGAGTGTCGCGACAAAGACCTTTGTATACTTTTTTTTAAACTTGTATTTTTCCCACTTCTTTGACCACACAACTACCATTGTGCTCAATGCCTATTAGCAAAACAGACTGGTGTTATTCATACACTGAGAAAGCCCACCCTTACTGCCCATGAGGGAGAGATCTCTACAGTGGCATGGACACTGGGGGAAAGGCATTTCTGTCACTGAAACCTGCCAAGGAAGCAGAAGCTGGTACCCATCGTGTTCTCATTAGCTGAAAACCCAGCCTGTCATGTTCTCAAATGTTGGTTGTTCATACATCATGTTTCTCTCTTCTCTTCTCTTCTCTTCTCTTCTCTTCTCTTCTCTTCTCTTCTCTT